ATTATATTATTTGTTTTGTTGCTTTCAGACTGTAGCTACTTTTAGCTAGCCTTTTGCTCTTTTCAACTTCACCTGGATTTTTGCTTTTTTTAATTTTTTTAAAGTTTTTCTAATTTTGTTCTTGTTAGCTTTTAGCTAGGGTTCTTATAGCTTTAACTGCATTTCCACTTCTTCAGCTAACTTATTTGGCCCTCAGGATTTACTACCTGTTTTTATGTAAGAATAAATAATCCAGTTTGATAGATAAAATCAGTGGTGGGCAGCACTAATCCAAAAATTAGCTCCGCAATTTCTAAAGTGCTTATGAAAATATTGAGATCCACAACTTCAAAAGTGCTTATGCCGTAGAAAAACTAGCGGAAGCTAGTTTTAAAGCGCAAGTTCAATTTGACACTTACTAACTGGCAAAAATTCATGTACAATATAAGCACAACACTGCCAACTAGCGGTGTATGAACTCTTTTACAGCTTAATTCTACAACCATTGATTGCTGGGGATGTGATTTCCTGAAACAGACCTTTGATCCTGGTGTAAAAATGAAAACGTTGTTGAGGATTGCTAGTTCAGCTGCTTCTTTGTCTTTTTCTTTCTTTTTTTTTGTAGATTTTTCAATAAAGAAGCATATTGGAAAACTGAAGGGATGCGTTCTGGGTACATGATGGATTTGATTAGTGACGGGAAATGAAAGCACGCAGTACAGGAAACTATCTTCCCTTCAAAATAAAAGCTTGGATTTTAACGTTTTCCATGTAGTTGCTCCAGTTGACCACTAGATGTTAGTCTTCACCAGCATAATGTCTTTAAATCATTTCTGCGTCTCTAACCCCGTTGCTTTGACCAATTACGTCAAGTACTGAGCTCCAGCGTTTAAACTTTTCTTTTTTTAAAAAAGGAGCTCTGATTGTGGGAAAATGAGAACCCTGACCGAAAGCAACAGTCCGCAAGGATGTATACCTTCTCAATAAATGAGTTTATCTTGGAGGGGTGGTGTTGGATAGATCACGTGTTGTGATTCATTGACAGCCAAACCTTCCGCTATTCAAGATAATGATGACTGGTAGATAATTATTTATTAGCGGTACTGCATTATTTTAATTTTTGAAAGCACAAATTTGCTTATGAATTGTAAAAATTAGTTAGACCYCTGAAGCGCAAATGAAAGATGTAGGTCCGCAATTAGCGGATTTGCGCTTTAARGGGCTGGTGCCCACCACTGGATAAAATGTAGACGGGCGGCTGTGGCTGAGTGGTTAGGTGAGTCGTCCTGGAACCAGAAGGTTGCTGGTTCGATCCCCCGTCCAGCCGTCTCAATCATTGTGTCCTTGTGCCTACTTCTGGTGGTCAGAGGGTCCGGTGGCACCGGTGCATGGCAGCCTCGCTTCTGTCAGTGTGCCCCAGGGCAGCTGTGGCTACAGTGTAGATTGCCATCATCAGTGTGTGAATGTCTGTTAGTGTAAAGCGCTTTGGGGTCCAGAGGGACTTGAAAAGCGCTCTATAAGTTCAGTACCATTTACCATTTAGACACGTCATCACATCTTTCTGTTGCACCACGTTTCTTAAACACTCCCTCCTCCTCACCTCGGACGATCAGCTGACTCTGGTGCTCCACAGCAGCAGCCTGGTTGCGTGCGATGCAGGTGTAGTTTCCGTTGTGTGCCAGCGTCAGGTTGGAGATACGCAGAGAGCTGGTGAAGTCTATGTTGTCTATGGTGACCCCCAGGCTGGCTGGGATGGGTCGGCGGTCCTTCTGCCAGGTGATGAAGACGGGCTGGTCGCCTGACATGACCACGCACGGTATGAAGACTCGCTGGCCAATGGAAAAACGGGGAAACTCAAAGGGGTGGATGGTGGGTGGGACTGCGAAAGAGAAATATCAGAACATTGTTGCAGTTAGTGTCTCTCAAGCACGTTGTTTTCATGTCAAAACACTGCGTGACTGTGCAGAAACTCTAAACGACAGAAGAAGTCTCCCCTCAGCTGGAGCTGTTGGATACCAACATGCTCACAACATCCCCGCTCTCTGCTGCTCTCCAGGGACACTGCAGCCATCGTGAGAACCAGATGCTTTGAAAATTAATGATTTAAAATACTATTGGAATAAGCAGCACTTCAGCGCTTATTTAATTCTCAACAAAATAGGCATAATAGGCTCCTGGGGATTCCCTCTCAGCAGCTGTGGAATGCTAAGCAGCTGAGAGGCAAATTAGCCGAGGCGGAATAACGCCGTAGCTTTGCCTACGCTGTGTGATTTTCCCCCTCGCACACTCGTTAGTTCATCAAGACCCGCCAGAGAGAGAGAGAGAGAGAGAGAGAGAGAGAGAGAGAGAGAGAGAGAGAGAGAGAGAGAGAGAGAGAGAGAGAGAGAGAGAGAGAGAGAGAGAG